TAACTATTGCCCAGAATGCAATACATTAGTCTTACTGCCTCTGTAACAGCTGTTCATGTGTCTCTTTCTCTGTCATTCAATGATGATGTGTCCTTTTCTACATGCAATGCCAGAAAATCTGGGAGAGCTCACAGCACAACACCTCCACATGAACTGGATTAAGTAGAGGAAAATCTTATTGTATATCATCACTTTATTTCTATTACTTAGTACAGAAAGGAAGGCACTTCATTATATGTGCTGAATAAGTAAGGGATGAATATTATACTTTTTACTAACTTTGTAATTTTTGCCTTTCATCTAAACTCTTTAGATCTCAGTTTCCTCATACAGAAATTGAGAATGATAGAAACTGCCTTACCTGTCTCTGTAAAAATCAAATGAGCAAACTTTGTATCTCCAACAAAGTGATGAAAGGTTTTTACAAACCTGGGCAATATTTACAGTAGTTCCTTAAATCTCAGATTAATGCATATGGTAGCTTCAAATTTCATCTTCATTATTTTAAAAAATATTATTTTGTTCAGAAAATTTTGTTTGTATGACTCTACATATCCGCAGGGATCTCTGGAGAGAGCCATGGAGTGTATTAGGATCTTAGTTTAGGATGTGATAGGCAAACCTGTGCCCAAGCTTAGATAAGAAGAGGGCACAAAAAAACAGTGATGCAGCCAACAGTAGGTTGTTAAAAGTGGGGCGCAAGATCTCAGACTCTCTTTTTCCCAAGATTTGTCTGTAATGGTCAGATGTGCTGCTCAAACTTCCTTCTAGGGGGCAGCAGTGCCCTGGAATTTTGCCAATATCCTTTGCCTCTTTAAATCTTAGTTCAGTGACTCAGATCTTCAAAGAAGCAAAGTCAAAGGAAATAAATGTGCTTATTATGTTATCACATACTGATATTAGGAAAAGGTAATAGTCTACCCAAAGTTGTTAGACGGAAGTGTTGTTGAGGGCATTACTACAGAAAACATCATAAAATGTACAGTTAAGAGACATATTACAAAAGACTTTGTTCAAAGAAGAGAAGCCATCATTTCACTATTGAATATATAGTTTATTTTTACTATCACGTTTAATGTATACTTTATTGCTATTAAAATTAAAACTACTAAAGATAAATATATATTTAGAGAATGAAAATTTGAGATATGGGTTTTTAAGTATGTGAGAATTAAGATCTTGTGAACAAAAAAATTTTCCCAAGAAATGTAAATAATAATTTTTGGAGGAAATGCAAAGAGACCTGACTTGGGCTTCTTGAATTTGCTTTGATTTGTTAGAAACATATATTGAATTGATGATTTTTATTTTACAAAACAACTCAAAGTACTGAGCAGAAATCACTTCACAGCTTTTGATACCTGCACTAGTCCTCTACTAGTTGAGACAGTAGGCCATAGTAAATCTTGACACCAAATTATACATGAATTGCTTTTCTTATCTCACTTGGCCATAGTCAATTTCAGTTCTAATTATAGGAGGCTTATTAAAATGTTTGGAAACTCTTCTTTTACAGTTTTGTATAATGACCCCTTTTATCATGATCTGCTAGACCTTGGTCCCAAACTCTAGGGATAAGTGTTGGATACTGTGGGCATGATGACTCAGATGACTCTGCTCATCCAGCAGGAGAAAGATGGTGGCTCCAATTAATCGCTACTAAAAATTAACCCATAATGTCTTTCCTTTTTTTATACCATCATTATTTGAGTGGAATGAGGAGCACCCTCACTTTACCTCTTGTTTTCAATTAAGTCTTCTCTTCATGATAATTTGGCCTGAATTTTTATTTAATGATACTTCAGAATTAGGATGAGGGTGAGGAGAAGAAAAAAATATTGTTTGCCCAGGGCTCTGAACTGTTCTAAACTAAGCTCATTTATTATAACATTAGAGGAGGACCTTGCTTGGTTGTCATTATTTTGCAGAATATATGGTACTGACATTTTCCCTTTCTCCAAGGGAGATAATTAGACCAAATGGGAAAAATTCTTCTGTGAGTTATATATGTCTTAATTTTTTTCACCAAGTTCTCTTACTCATCACTTTTAATTGCCAAATCTTAGAGCTATGAAAAAAATACATTGCCAGTAATCTTATAATGAGATCTGATATTATTTATGTAGAACATATTCACTGTTTAACAGCTTTCCTTATTTAACATTTGGTGAAAGTACCTAATTATTACTGGAGGAATTTAATATTCTTCAAACATGCTGTTCTTTTTTTAGTGTTTCCTTGTCGCTTATTAGAAAATGTTTTATATGCTATTGATTCAATGGGGGTGACACTTTTAAGATGAATTCATAAATGCCCGTAGAGGATCAACCATTACACATGGAAAGCGAAATTCTGTCACACTGACATTAATGATGGCTACTATAATCACTGGCTCCTCTTTTATTAGGATTTTTATTAATTAATGCAAAGTCTACTATTGGCCTTATAAAAGTGCTCATCTGTTTTCCTTTAATTTCAAATAGATTAAAAGTAAGATTTGGTGTTAATTAAAAACTTAGGATTTATGAGGATTTTAATTGCGAACATTTCAGTGGTGAACATGTAGATGACTCTTAGTTCTGTTTGCTAAAAAACATGGTATTGAACAATGACAAAAGAATAAATCATTCGCAGAGAAGTACACTATCATTGGCTGTATTGTCCATGTGTATTGAATCCTGTCTAGCCAGGGGCAGATAAGAGAGGCTCAACAGCTCAGGATTTCCTTGGGGGTTTTAAACTTTTACCTGACGTCTGGAAATTTTAGTTTTACTTTGAAAATGTGGATGGGTTTAAACTTAAAGAGAAATCATCAGGTTTAATGAGTTTAATGGAAATACTCTGACATCATAGTCTGCAAATATGATTTCATCTGTCTGTCTTTAAGTTGAATTTAGGTTGTATAGTGTAACTGATGTCCAAAAGGTCCCTACAAGTTTCCCATTTTATTATTTATTATCTTAACCAGAGCCTGCTGCAATAAAAGGGCCATCTTCTGTGGTGACCTGTAGCACAGGTATTTTGCAATTAGCATCTTTGCATGTTCTCCTCTGGCATGAGTTAGGTTTAGCCTTGTCACACTGGGCTTTTAAGGGGAGCTCTATCTTTGCAGCCCAGGCTACATGTGACAAGATTAAATTGGCACACTTTACTGTATAGCTCTTGTGTTCCTGGCAGTGCTAGCCTGGCTGATGCCTCTGAGAGAAGGCTCAGCTGTCACTCAGTGACCCATTAACACTACTGTTCGATCATGCAGTGTCATTTTTCTCATTCTCATGGAGATAATGCTCCCTGGAGATCTCCAGTACCTGCAGGAATGAAAGAGAACAGCAGAGACAGGCTAACTATCAAAGAAGGAGCAAACAACACAGCAAGACCATGAATTCCAAAAGCAGAATTTTAAATTGAGTGAAAAGATGAAGCCCATTTATGATGTCTGGGTTGGGAAGGTGGGAGGAGGATGGAGTTTTAATAGATATAATAACTTTTTAACAAGCTATTTTCTTCTTCCTGCCTGAATACTATAAGAGGTATCCATGATAATACTTATAACTAGGTTAGAGAAGGCAGATGCTTTGAACATGTCATAGGGATTTGAGTGAGAATTTATTTATAAACAGGGATTTTTGTGTTTTATTTGTTTATTTACAAACAGGTGGAGGATATAAAACAAAGCATGTATTAAGGTGAATTGCTTAATAGTCTAAATAGAACAGAATCCCTGTTTATGGATGGCTTATCTGGGTACAAAATCACAAAAGCACAAAAGAGGAAAATGGTATGTGATCTTTGTAATGCTAGGCGTTAAGACTTCTTTTGTCCTATGATTAAACCAACTGCTTAAGCAAACTCTGTTGCTCTTCAGTCCAAACTGCATGTTGTTTAGTGTGTCACTTTATAGGAAGTTATGCTTTCTAATGTTTACTATATAAGGAAATATTATAAGAACATGCTTCTTGATTTCCCAGACTAAGACTGGTTCTGTTTAGATTGATATAAAAACAAGAAACAAAGCCATATGAATCTTGATATTTTCTAAGGAAACCTGTTGAAGACGTGATAGGAATAGACCAACACCCCTCCAAAAACATGTCAGAAAATAGGGATAAAATTGAACAGGATTCAGGATTACAATAAAGGGCAAGGAAAAATGCCACGTAAAAACTTGTTAGTAGCTACTTTAACCCTGATTGCTTCCTGGACACATAGAACATCCATTCCAACTACCCTTAGATCATTTCAACCCTGATTTCAATTTTCGCACACCAGGCAAAGCTTGTTATTGGGTTTAGACTTTTAATCTCAGGTAGGGATTTGTGTACCATCACGTGCCCTCCCTCACCACCAATCAGGAGACACAGGTGCTAGAATCCATAGTGTAAATGTGCATATTCTTCCGGTGCACCAACTTTTTAAAAAAAGTGTGTGTGTGTGTGTGTGTGTGTGTGTGTTTAACTTATGTAAACTACAAATAATTTGCATCTTTATTTTTACTTTAAAATAAACATGGTGTATTGTGGAGTAGGATAAAATATTCATACATATTTTAATGATTTTTAAAAAGACTTTAAAGAAATATTGGTAAGAATATCTTTGGCTTAACCTGTCAGAGCTCTTGTGTGCCTTAAGGATTGTGTTTTCTCCTCTTTTCCATTGAATACAACGTTCAGGAAGCATTACTTTAGCGTATAGCAGGGAAAAGGGACACAGATTATGATGTTTTGACAATGATGATGGCGTTAGTTAGGAATAGAGTGTAGTTCAGCCAAGTCTTCCAGGGCAAGAAACAACCTTTATTCTTAATTTTACAGTTGGAAGGCACTGTAAAAATCAGCTGATCCAGACTGCGGCCTGCGGCCCCGCACGGCATGATGTGGCCTCTGCCACCAGCACACGGTCATTGTGGTGCAGCGTGTGTTTGGGGGGTGGAGGGTCCACTGGAGACTGGGACTCAGGTGATCTTGGCAGATGGAGACTCACAGCCTCCCTGGCTGTGCTCCATGAGGAAGATGCTGGCTGCTGCTGTCTCTAGCGTGCTGTCTGTTGTCACCCAGAAGCCCGCTAACAGGGTGCTTGTGGCATCCTGTAACTATTCATATGATGCTACATTTGAGATTAAGAAATGTGATCTTTATCGGTTGGAAGAGGGTCCCCCTGTCACCGCAGTGCTCACCCGGGAGGATGGACTCAAATACTACAGGATGATGCAGAACATTTGTCGAATGGAATTGAAGGCGGATCAGTTGTAAAAACAGTGGTTTCTGTCACTTGTGTGATGGTCAGGAAGCTTGTTGTGTGGGTCTTGAGGCTGGGCTAAATCCCACGGATCATGTTGTTGCATCCTGTCAGGCTCACGGCTCATGTGTACTCGTGGACTTTCTTTCCCATCAATTCTAGCAGAGCTGACAGGTCGAAGAGGTGGCTGTGCTGAAGGAGAAGGAGGGTCAATGCATATGTATGCCAATAACTTCTATGGAGGCAATGGCATTGTCGGCGCTCAGGGACCGCTGTGAGCTGGTATTGCTCTGGCCTGTAAATATAAGGGAAACAACGAGGTGTGTTAGACTCTACATGGGAATGGTGCCGCTAATCAGGGTCAGATATCTGAAGCTTATAATATGGCAGCTGTGTGGAATTTACCTTGTATTTTCATCTGCGAGAATAACCACTATGGAATGGGAACATCTGTTGAGAGAGCAGCAGCTCTAAAGGTAGATGGAATGGAGGTTCTATGTGTTTGGGAGGCAACTAAGGTTGCAGCTGACTGTTGTAGATCTGGAAAGGGGCCCATACTGATGGAGCTGCTGACATACCATTATCATGGACACAGTATGAGTCACCCTGGAATCAGTTATCGTACACGAGAAGTTCAGAATTTAAGAAGTAAGAGCAATCCTATCATGCTTCTCAAAGATAAAATGGTAAACAACAAACTTGCCAGTATTGAAGAATTGAAGGAAACTGATGTTGAAGTGAGGAAAGGAATTGATGCTGCTGCTCAGTTTGCTATAACTGATCCTGAACCACCTTTGGAAGAATCTACAGCAATAATCCACCTTTTGAAATTCGTGGTGCAAATCAGTGGATCAGGTTTAAGTCAGTCAGTTAAAAGGAGAATATATTCATGGTCAACTTTAAGAAACTGTGTACCCAATTTTGTTAAGGAGGAATAAAACCCCTAAAACAAAAGTCTTTAAAATTTTTATTAAGAGGAATTGAGATAATTAAGAGATAATGGAAAGACATAAATGAGATCACAGAAAGATATACATTCAGTTGAGATATTACATTCAATTGTACATTATTGCATTAAAAGATACTATACAGTTAATCATTTAGTATTGTTAAAAGATAAACTGAGGCACATTAAAATTTTCAAGAGTTTATTTTGAGCATACATCAGTTAGAATCAGGCAGTCCAAACAAAAGGTGGAGTATTCTACCAACAGGAGCTGGGGGAGAGGTTTTTAGAGAGAAGCAGAGCAAGGAAATAATTTGATAGGTGATAGCTTAAGGAGCTGCCTTATTTGGGAAAGCCTAGTTGGCCGTTTGTGATTGGTTGTTCTTAAATTTCATTTGCTTTGTTTGAGTGCATTGACTCTAGCTTAGTTTTGGTTTGCTTATGTAGGCTCCCAAGACATTAGAACCACCTCAGTCTGATGGCTTCCTTGTTTAACTACTTAAACAATGTGAATATCTTAAAGATTATTTTAAATTTATACAAGTCTAGAATAGGAAAAACAGGGACTTCCCTGGTTGTCCAGTGGTTAAGACTTCACCTTCCAGTGCAGGGGGTGTGGTTTTGATCCCTGGTTGGGAAGCTAAGATCCCACATGCTTCACGGCCAAAAAACCAAAACATAAAGCAGAAACAATATTGTAACAAATTCAATAAAGACTTAAAAGAAAAATGGTCAACATCAAAAAAATCTTAAAAAAAAATAAAATAGGAAAAACAGAAAATATTATTTAACTTCCAAAATTATCTTCTGTAATAGTTCTGTTTGATTTAGCTTTATATTATTTTAGTAAATACTCTTATTTAAAGGAAAAATAGTTCTTTGATTCCTGCTCAACCCTGCTAGAGGTTTAGGTGTAAAGTAACTATTCTGAAGTTAAGAAGTAATTTCAAGCAGTACCAAAGTATCAGGACCCCTACTGCTGTGTCACTTAAAATAGTTTGCTTAAATTAACCAATTGAACACAACCTACTAAATAGTGTGCATGTGCACCCACACATGCGTGAATATTCAGTATTGATGCTGAAGTGACTTAACATTGACCATTTTTCCAATAAAACATGATATATAACAGAGCAGGGGGAGATAGGACAGGACATTTTTTCATGTACTTAATTGCAATATTTTTATTTATCAATTTAAAGGAAAAATGTTGTACCTAATTGCAATATTTATATTTATCAATTTAAAGGAAAAATGTAAGCAAAGTTAAAATCTAGAGGAAAACTGCATTTTGCTTTAATCTTCCAGTGAAAGCTACTCTTATTTTACAATCCATTTGTACCGTTATTCCATACTTTAAAGAAATCTTAGTAAATTTCAGACTGAAAATAAATGAACAGATATGATGACACCAAAGGAGTTAAGCAGAGGAGGTGGTATTAATAAAAAATTGAAAATAAAATCTGCCTTGGCCAGAACTGAGCATTCACAGATAACTTTTTGCATGAGAAAATCTAACTTGGATCATACAGGTTTGGTTTTCTCTATAGTCCAATACCATGTCAATTAACAAGTCATGACAGTGAAAACATCTTTACTTGGTTATATTTACCAAATGACCTAAAGTCCTATTGAGCATGATGTTTGACATACCTTACTCCTCTGAGATAGACTCACTGAAATCAGAAATCAGAATTTGCCTGTGACTTAAGAAATAGTTTGCAGGGGCTTCCCTGGTGGCACAGTGGTTGAGAGTCTGCCTGCCGATGCAGGGGACGTGGGTTCGTGCCCCGGTCCGGGAGGATCCCACATGCTGCGGAGCGGATGGGCCTGTGAGCCATGAAAAAAAAAAAAAAAAAAAAAAAAAAAAAAAGAAATAGTTTGCAGATAACACCAAAAGTTGTTAAAGGTTAAAACCCATCACAAGAAAAAAAAAATTGTGACTGTGTGTGGTGATGGATGTCTAACTAGATTTATTGTGGTTATCATTTCATAATACATACACATATTGAATCATTATGTTGTACACCTGACAGTAATATCATGTTATATGTGAATTATATCTCAGTTTTTTAAAAAAAGTTAAAACCTTTTCTTTACATCATCTGCTTCTACAAATAAAAGCTTAGATACTTTCTAAGAACTCTAACAGAAAACCAAAATCTTAGAGGCCTGTGAGTCCATAAACATAAGAACATATATGTGGATGCTTAATCTCCATACCTTTCCCCAAATAGGTTTAAACAAGTAAGATAACCTCAACATTCTAAATTCAGAAAGCAGAGATAAGCATCAATTTGTTTATAAATCAATGATATTACTAGTTAATGTGTTTTGGTTATGCAGCTTCAGTTCAGAGGTGACTTGATTGAATCTCTTTCATCAAAAACAAAGTAATTCATAAGATGGTCAAAATAATCACATTCTTTGAATGACAAAGAATTCTTCTACTTTTTATTTATTTTGATATACTTATATTTCCATAAACTTGCAAGTGGAAGATAAGCTGCTCAATTAAAGCTATTTTGTGTAGACAATATACAGAAATCATTTTCAATTTTTGTTTATGGATTTTGTTTATAAATTTTTATTATGGATTCTTTTAATGTCAGTAAAACTTATCAGTTATACAAATAACTGATTAGATATGAAATCATCATAAACCAAGGAACACAGACACTTCATTTCAGGAAAAAAGTCCAGTCTTACTATAGCAGAAGAAAAACATACATTTATCACAATACAAGTTTCAAATTCCATTAAAGCACAGAGTTTTGAATATTTTCTATATTAAAAAAATGCACAGGCATTTATGTGTATATTCATGATTGTAATTTAATCATATCATTGGTTGCACACAATTCTGTAAGGATACAAAAAAAAAAAAGAAAAGAAAAGAAACAAAAATCCGTGTTGTTTTCATTTAGGTCAAGGAATAAATTAATAATAGCAATTTATTTACCAAATGTAAATCAAGTGTAGAAATCCAGCAGTGGGATTCTATTTCCTGTCTAAAGTACTATGCCACTTAGTCTATTTTATCCACATATTAGAAGACATAATAAACCATGATGGTCATAAGAATTAAATAGTTGCAACAATGCTGGAATATCTGAGAGAAGGAAGAGTTCCTAATATCTTAATCTTTATGATACTCTATAAAGGTAAAGGATAGTGTGCATATCTGTGGAATGAGATAAGAAAGGAAGGAGGTTAAGTATATAAAGGAGATACTTAGAACCTTAGAATTACACTTATTTTAAAAAATTGACATGTCTGCCAATCTAACATACAAAAAACAGAGCAGATATTAGTGAAATGTAATCTGATAATTTGTGAGAAAGTGCTAGTTTAAAAAAATTGAAATACAAGTCATATACCATAAAATTCATCCTTTTAAAAGTATACAATTCAGTGGTTTTTAGTATGTTCACAGAGTTGTGTAGCCATTACCACTATCTAATTCCAAAATATTTTTATCATCCCAAAGAGATAACCCATACCCATCAGTCACTCCTGATTTCTTTTCATCCTCTGGAAAGTACAAGTCTGCTTTCTGTCTCTGGATTTGCCTATTCTGGACATTTCATATAAATCATACAACATGTGCTCTATTGTGTCTGCCTTCTTTCACTTAGCATAATGTTTTCATTTTGCTGTAGCATACATCAGTATTATATTCCTACCATTGAGAAGTAGGATCTGTGTTCCTTCCCCTTGGATATCTGGTGGGCTTATAACTGCTCTGACCAACAGAGAGCAGCAGAAATGATGCTGTAGAGAGGGCGCAAGACGTAAGAAACAGGCAGGTTTTGCTTCATGTCTCTTGGAACCTTCTCTCTGGGAGTTGTGATTCTCCAGTTAAGAAGTTCAAATACACTGAGAGTCCCCTGCTAGAGACTGTACGGGCAGGCACTCTGGTTACCAGTCCCAGCTGGCTCAACCTTCAGCCAGACCTGCAAAGACAACAGGTATGTGAGTGAAGGCCATCTTGGACCCACCAGATAGCCCGTTTGCCAGCTGAAAACCACAACAATGTCTTGAAGGATCAGTGGGATCACTAGCCAAAATCTGCCCAGATTCTTAATGTACAAAAGCACAAGAAAAACAACGTGGTTGCTTTTAAGAGTCTAATTGTTGAGGTACTTTGTTACACAGCAATAGACTCAGCAGAAATGAAAATTATATTGCTTAGTCCAAGCCAGGTGTGTCAGGAGAACAGGTGAGGATTAGTAAACCAAGTCAGAATCAGAAAGCCCATAGGATGTATCAGTGCAGAGTTTCAAAATTTAGAAGTAGCAAGGAAAAGATGCAAGTCCTCAATAGAAATAAAATCTAGGAACAAAATTACAACTGTTCAAAACATATTTTTCCACCATCAAGGTTGGTTTTCACGTGAACTAAAGCATAACATTGTGTCTTGAGGATTTTATAGTAAAATACTGTCAACCATTGGTCAAGAAACACATTGCTGTGAACTGCAATTTCACTGACTGAGGCTTGTCTAGAGTCCAGAAGGAAGTTTTCTCTTGATTGGTAAGTTTTAGGCCTTGATGAGTCAAAGCCAGCACTTGAAATGCCAACGCAATGTGGGAGCAAGTCGTTACGAGTTCACAGCTATTCGTGACTAGTCTACCCAGTTAATGAAGAGGAATCCAGGAAGCTAAGGGCTCAAGACTAACAGAACCTGAGAGGTAAAGCTGGAAGGAAGTCAGGAACTGAATCAAACTGGTAGGTATAGACAAGGAGAGAGACATTAGGACTAAACCAGAGGCAAGGAAAATGAGGCGGAAATATGTAACAAATAGGTTTGCATATTGGTGACCTTTGTGTTATCACGGAGGTCAATATCTATTGGATGAATTGAGTCAGCAGCATCTCACGTAATGACAGGCCCTTTAGAACCTAATGCTTTCTGATCAGCATCA